TTTTGTGTATGTTTACTATTTCTCAGTTTATTTTTTTCAGAACTTGTAAATGTTCTTTCATATCCTATATTCCCCCCTCCCAGTTCATCTTAGATCTTTTTTAAATTCATTGATTATTGTAACAATCAACTTTTAAAATTCTTGGCATTTTCTCCATGTTGATATCATTTTTTATTTGGACATGATTTATTGACATACCTTCCCTTATATTATTATTCCTGTTGAAAATGTAAATAGCTCAAAGTAACATCTCTTAAAATGATTACTCATACATAAGTTCAGAAATTTGTTAAATTCTTCTGAGGAGATAGTGATACAGCTGGAAAAAGTTCATCTGATTCATTTCTGTCTGTGGATTGAGGTGATTGTGTAGAGACCAGTTTGTAGCATGGGGTGCATGGAGCCTTGTGCCCATCCTGAGCTAATCAGGGAATTGAAGACTATGAATTTCTAGGCTTAAAATATGGTTATTTCATCTCCTCCACTTTGATATCTATGGGTCCAGTGATTGGAGCATTAGGAACGTTTGGAGGCACTTTGTTTTCTCAGCTTTCAGTATTGATATTTGTGCATTTGCTGGGAGGGATATCTCTTTTCTTGTTGGGTGAGGGTCTTTTTAGTGAGCTGCTTTCTCTTTATTATATGATTCGAGCTTGGTGAACATCTGAGTTAGAATTCCCATTCAAAATGATCACAATGCCATGATCAATTCCTCTTCTTTGAGAAAAGATAATACTCACTAGCAACTCTTCCCAATTCAGGGCAAACCATATACTAATAAACCATAAATACTTAAAATGTCCTTTGTATCCTGCCAGTCCAAAATGGGAGTAATACTCTAGGCTGAAAAATTAGTTATTAAAGGAAGTAAAATGACCATTAAATTATATAGGGCATGAACAGTAAAAGAGGAAAAAGTAAAATGAAAGGGGTGGTAGTGATATAAATAGATAAAGTGAGGAGGAAGAAAATGTATCAATGAGAAAGAAGAAGATTTAAAGAATAATTCCAATAAGCACATTAAAAATGTTTAAAAACATAAAATTGGAATAAAGTATGCAATATAAAATAATGGAGGAAAACCTCTCAAATCAACATAGAACTCAATACCAATGAATAAAAAAAAAAACTATTGAGTCTAAAATTATTTCTTGGTTAGCTGTTTGAAATGGAGAGATTTCCTACAAAGTCGTCTAGTTTGGATATGTTAGGTTTTTGGAGGTGTAGTAAATGCCCATGCCTTCTCCTCTTGTCCTCTTAAGTTTCTCTGGGTGTGGAAGTAGCAACTATTCCAGCTATCTCTGTGTTAGGTTGGAGAGGTTTATTTTTAGTTTTTTCCCCATCTACCTCAGCTTTCTGCTTCAAAAACAGCATAGAACTTAGGTTTTGGAAGCTATCCACACAGACCTAGTTCTGTCTGCCTCTGGTGTAAACCTAGGTGGGTCCCTCAGTTCCTTGGTATGTCTAGGGAGACTTAATGTCTCTGGAGAGTCCACACAATGACTTCTGATTGTCTGTGGCCTAGCAACCAGGTCTTTCCCTGTGTAGTACTGTAGCCTTGTGTGTCTTCCTGTAGAAATGCTGTGTGCACCAGGGTTATCAAAGTAGGTATGAGCTTAACCATGTAGTATTTGGTGTGTGGGACTGGAGGCCCATGCAGAGTCATGGGATGGCAGCTGGAGTTCATGGTAAGGTGTGACTTTTGTGAATTAAGCTGGATTCCTGCAACCTTGCTATAGTTGATTGTTCTAGAAAATTTTTTGGTTGTTTCTTTTGGATTTTCTATATGGATGATCATGGCACCTTATTAAA